TTTTGGTTTTCCGTTTAGGCTCGTCGCGGCGTCGCGGCTGTGTCCTGTTCTTTTGCAATGCGAGCAGTATTTACTTATCGCGTTTATTCGCGAGGGTTTTTCCGGTTTCGTATCGGCTGACTTCGACAATCGCGTCCGTAATGTCCGTTTTTTCCGCATTTAAAGCATTGCGGTGTCGGGTTTCGACTATTTCGCGGGTAACTTGATTCGGTTTTATTTTTATTAACAAAACTACTTGTTCTCGCTGTTCCCGGTCTGAGTTTTTCTTCGGCGCTCGCGCCCGTTATCGCTTCTTGGAGCGTCGTATATCGCTGCGCGCGTACGAGCACTTGTAATTCATCGTGTAGCCCGATCTGGTAATTTATTAATGCCTGCTCTTGAATTGTTTGTTGAATCGTGCGTTTTGATAATGCGGAATGCTCTTTTCCTTCGATCATCGAATCGTATAATTTCATCGCTAGTAAATCAACGCGTTGCCCGAAAGCGTGCGCTGTTTCATTCGGCTTTTGTTTAGCGAGTTGAATTCGATCTGTAAATGTGTCGTGCTTTGTTTCGACTGGTAACAAGTCTCGAGTTGCTGCTTTAATTCGTCGAACGTTTGTATATCTCGCGTCTCAAGGTCCTGCATCGCTTTTCCTTTTAATTTTGTAAATAAGATTGCTTGAATTAACGATTCTTCGTCTGCGGGGTTTATGTTCTGAACAGCGTATTTGCACACGTTTAAAAATTCTTGCAGTTTATGTCGCGAGGTTCCGTCAAACTCGGGGATCATTATTCTCGCTTCCTTTAACGGTAGATAATTCGAGGCGGCGCTTCGACGATTTCTGATATCGCGTCCCGTTCGCCCATATGTTGTTTCAAACGCATCGTTATCGTTTTCCCTGCTAGTGTCTGTATGACGGGGTAATTGCGCGTCCGCGCTCTCTAGTCGCGTACTCGTATGTTTAACGAATGGATGTCCGCGCGTATTTCATTCAAAATGTGGATTATCTGTATATAATCTCCTCTTTCTTCGCGGTTTGTTTCGGGAGGCGGCATGCGATTCGCCTCCGCTATGTGTTGGTCCATCTGGCGAATGGATCGTCGCATGTTTTCTATTTCCTCAATTTATTAATGCCTGCGCTTGGATTGTTTGTTGAATCGTGCGTTTTGATAATGCGGAGTGCTCCTTTCCTTCGATCATCGAGTCGTATAATTTCATTGCTAGTAAATCAACGCGTTGTCCGAAAGTGTGCGCAGTTTCATTCGGCTTTTGTTTTAGCGAGTTGAATTCGATCTGTAAATGTGTCGTGCTTTGTTTTGACTGGTAACAAGTCTCGAGTTGCTGCTTTAATTCGTCGAACGTTTGTATATCTCGCGTCTCAAAGTCCTGCATCGCTTTCCCTTTTAATTTTGTAAATAGGATGGCTTGAATTAACGATTCTTCGTCTGCTGGGTTTATGTTCTGAACAGCGTATTTGCACGCGTTTAAAAATTTTTGCAGTTTATGTCGCGAGGTTCCGTCGAACTCGGGGATCATTATTCTTGCTTCTTTTAACGGCAGATAATTCGGGGCGACGCTTCGTCGATTTCTGATATCGCGTCTCGTTCGCCCATATGTTGTTTCAAACGCATCGTTATCGTTTTCCCTGCTAGTGTCTGTATGACGGGGTAATTGTGCGTCCGCGCTTTCTAGTCGCGTTACTCGTATATTTAACGAATGGATATCCGCGCGTATTTCATTCAAAATGTGGATTATCTGTGTATAATCTCCTCTTTCTTCGCGGTTGATCTCGGGAGGCGGCGTGCGGTCGGCCTCCGCTATATTTTGGTCCATTTGGCGGATGGATTGCCGCATGTTTTCTATTTCCTCGTCTACCGCGCTTTTCGGCGGGTTCGCGGGAGTGCGTTCTTGCGGATTTCGCGATTCGGCCATATTATTTTCCTGTTGGCTATAAATCTCTTCCGGATCGAACAGATCGCTCTCGTAGGAAGTTAACGAAAATTCGCGTCGTAAAGATACTCTACTTGGAGTTCTGCTAATGTACGGTCGCGTACGTCTAGTCTCGCGTGGAGTGTTGTCAGTGGGGTCAGTCATATTACGCGGGAGTAGACTTTCGTCCAAATTGTTAAATGGAAATTCGCGTTCTGTGACGACGTTTTCCGATAACTCGGGCTCTGGGATGCGTCTGGCTGGTTACCCGTAACACTAAACACTTTTTAAGTTAAATAAAGATTTTATTCACTACAAATGGTCTTAGTTATAATTCGTCCTCGTATTTATTATCTACTCGTGTCGCGTATCGTGTTAACTGACACTCGCGTGCGCGTGTTTGGAGTCGGGTTTACGTCGCTTGACTCGCTTCTCGCTATCCACGATTTTTACTAAGTGTGACTATTTGATATTGCAATAATCATCGACACTTGCTGTTGACACTCGCTACTGTTAGCGCTACTGCCCGCGTAATATTAATTAAGGATAAAGACTGCCCGTCGCTCGTTAGCGATGGGTCTTTTTATTATCTCCCCTTGGTTTCCCAGGAGGGGATCGTTTAGCGACAAGACCATGTGTCGTGTCGCTCGATTTTTGCGGCAAGATCCGGATGCAAGCTAAGGAGTTCTAAGTAGGACTTCTTTGCTTGCATTTTCGTAATTTCCTTTTTGCTTTTAGATAGGACCTATATTTTTGCAACGCCTTTATTCCGCTTGCCTTGATTTCCGCATTTTCGTAATGAGTGATTGCGCGGTCGCTCGGGCTTCGCGCGTAGCTCGCGTTGTCAGCGCTTCGCTCGGTCAACGTTCGTAACGTAATCTGTATTCGCGTTACACGTTGAGCAATCATATCAAATAATATGTATTTAGAATAATATATTTAATAATTCGTGTATAGCCTGTTTGGGCTATGACACATTCGTCAAAATTATCGTCGAACAGAGGTAATTTGATGGGCGGAAGATGCGACAAAGAAACCGCGGAAGCGTCCGCGTGCAGCCTCGTCGAGGATAGAGATGGATTTGGACTCACGACCGGCTCCATTTCCTCCAGGATCTCCGCCATGTGGTCCAGAGCGTTTTTATAGGCTGCTTGAGTCGCGTCGTAATGATTGTCCTTGAAGTAGCTGAAAGACGACCGGATTGCTTCCGGGATTTTCCGCGACACCTCTGCGTGTCCATTGGAAAATTGACTCCAGTATTCCTTGAGCGTTGAGATCCGGGAACGCACCTTAGCTGGTGTAAGATTGTTCTTACCGATTTTTTTGAAGTTCTCGAGAGCGCGTTCAATCGTACGCTGCAGCTGCTGCTGATGGGCGACGTGCTCCGACATAGTGGATGTATTAACTATCACTCACTCGCGAACTTATCCTCCACACAAGCTTCTATCCGGCTCGAAGGACCAATATGTTCGAGAATCGACCTCAACGAGATCGCCCGAATCTTTAGAAACACTCAGAGATGAGCGAGAAGCTGTGTGTAACGCGAATCCGTAGATCCGCTGGAGGACAAGGAGATTTGAGAAAATACTCGAGTGCAGGTTGTTTTAAATATTCGTTTAATTTGGAATAATAGAAGCGAGCGCCGGCACGTATTCCGTCACTCCGACGGAAATCTTCAAAATGTCCTGTTAATTCCTGTCTTTGACGCGTTGCGGAAATCTTCTAGAGCTTCTTGCTAGAGGCTCTCGCGAGAACGGATATCTTGCACGCGGACGCCGGATGGAATTTAGCGCGAGGCAGAGGACATTCGCAATGCGGGTAACGAGCGTCGACTCTCGGACTCCAAACAGTTAAAGTTCAAAATGTCTTAGCACTAACGGAGTAAAGAGTACGGTGTGAGATATTACCGAATTGACCGCCGCGAGAAGATGAACGCGATCAGATGCGAGACAATTCGGAATGATTTTGAGATGAGTAAACCTACTGAGTACGCGACACAAACGAGAATAAGCGAAATGCACATGAGAAAGATCGATGAGTTTCGACCGGCTCGAATCGTTGTCGTAGGCAGACTAAATCGACCGACCGCGGAAGCTCGCGCTCTGCCGATGGAAATAACAAGGGTTTTTCGACGTCGAACCTTCGAGAACTTGCTGTTTGCTTAGAACATATATACCTGGAAGGGGAATGATGGATTGAGTCTGTGTCCAAGTTGGCCAATGTAACAAGCCGCTTTCGCGAGGCGGGCGACGGATAACTCGGTCGGGATCCTGGGTTCGTGAAAGTGGTATCGAGACACGAATGCGAATTGATGTTTGGTAGAAATGTACTTTATTGCGTGTAAATGTGTGTTTGTACAGCGTGAGTGTATGTATAGGTGTACGAGGTGTGTGTGTGTGTATGTGCGCGCGAGACGAGTGACAGTGACGAGTGCGTATAATGTAGATGTGCGAGTACGTATAATGTATGTGTGCGAGCACGTATAAAGTATATGTACGAGTACGTATAATGTATGTGTGCGAGTACGCAATGTATGCGTGCGAGTACGTATACTGTCGGTGTGCGAGTATGCAATGCCGGAGGGTGCATGCAATGCACCGCGATTGCGCGCAGCGCGGGTCGCGCTTTCGGGTGTTCGGTCGAATATCGATTATTAATCGCGCGGCGTAAATCCGGCAGGAGCCGTTAGCTGTCGGGTGGACCTGTGCGGCCGCGTCGGTGGACGGTCCTTCGGCACGTGTATCGATTTCGGATGTCGATCGGTGACGTGGTAGGGCGCGGGTCGGCCCTCGGCGCGGGACTTAGCGCTCCCGTAATAATGGCGCGTCGGTCTTAATTATGGCGGCTAACAGTCGGTCCGTCGAGTGGTATAACGGTCGGATCTTATTCGCGTATCGGGATCGCGGGTGCGGATTTCGGGATGCGTCGGCCGACGAGAACTCCCGTCCGTGGTAGGGAACTCCCTTGCCACGAGAATGCTTGCCGATGCACAAGATGGACGGAAAGCTAGCGAGGGGCCGAGAACTCTCGGCGGGGTCGAGTACGCCCGATCCCGTGTACCTCTTAATTCGTTCGGAAAGGATCGCTCCCAGAGATGCCGTAAATTCCCGGCGGAGGTTGGGTACTCCCAACCCCGTGGTTCTTTCTCTGGTGAGCGGTTAAGGGTCAACAGGAGTGACGGTGGAGACCTCTCGCGGGAAGCCGTGAATTACGAATTCGTAGTCTACGTCCTACAGCCAAAATAACGAGAAAATCGGATTCTAATGATGATATTCGTATTCAGCAGCATCGTCTTCTTAGACGTACAGAGCGTTTTTTTGAAAAAATGATCAAAATAAAAATTCTAATACTGACAAACAACATACAGCTGATTGTGGATCAGGTGTAGTTGCTCTCGAATTCATATTATATTTTTATTATAAATTTTTAAGAGCCAAATTGCAAAATCCGGCTCTGTACGACTAATTCTAACGATGTAAGAAATACATCAAAACAAGTTTCATGAAAAAATATTAATTTTTCGAGATGTAGGACAAAGACTACGAATTTCACCACATCTGTATCTAAAGTGCAGCTAATAGCAGAACATGGGGAATATTCCGTAGTGGCACACTGACTGCTTGACAAAGAGAGATGATTACGCCGTCTTTGTCTCTCTTTCATCGCATATGTGTAGCGTCCGTGAAAGCACACCGATATGTTGAGCACACGGAAGCGATTGTTGGGAGATAATGTCAGACAAGGAGCGACAATCGCATGCTATCCTTGTTCCTCTAGCGTATCGCTTTACGGCCGAAATATGGCCTGAATCTGAAAATGCTTTTTGGCCTCTCGTGGCAGAAAGCAGTAATGCAACATGACTAACGGGCGCCCATTCTTTGAGAATTTTATATTTACGTATATACATATATGCATATATATGTTTAAATTATAGTTAAAATTATACGTGCAATTAAATATTGTATGATGATCAATAATAATATAGATAACAGAGTGAATAAATATACAATATGTAAGACACGGGTGCCTGTTAGACTTTGTGAGATTTGTTGCTTTGTTACTATCGATATTTCGTTTATCATATTAGCGGGATAGAGAAATAGCATGATTGTCAATTCTTGTTTGATATTACATTATCTTTTAACAGTCTTAATCGTAGACAATTATATTATATATTCATAGACAATTATATTATCTTTCTTTAATTGTACCGATATCGCGTAAGCACATACGAGTACTGGTATATGAAAGCATATACAATAAATAATACATGTAATGACGAAGTGCAAAATATTCAGTCTCTCTATCATGCAGTACACTCCAAGTTCAATTCCACAGATATCTTTCACCGCGCGAGGTCTCCAATGTCAATTCGGAGTTTGCCCGTCACTCCTGTCGACCCTTAAGGAGCGAGAGAGAACCACGTTTTAAGAAAAGAGAAAGGCAGATTGTAACCTTCGTGTGCAATGTGCAAGCGCGAATTAGCGAATAGCGCATTCGATCATCGTCAATTGTATCTCAATTAAAAATTACATTTCTATTTTCAAATGGCGCGGTGAGCGTGACGTGTGTTTGCGCATTGCGAACAAAGGTTACAATCCACCTTTCTCTCTCGTACCCAACTTGGTCACAGATCTTTTCCACGGTAAGCATAGGCAATTCCCCTTCCAGGTATATATGTTCTAAGGCTGTTTGTCACAGTTTTTCTTTGTTTGTGTAACGCGATCACGCGCCGATCGGCTGATCGCGACGATGTTTATTCTCGCTCGCGTTTTGATTTCAGCTCTTACCGTTCAGATTTGTCGGTTGAATTTATCGTTTAAATATATCGATTAAATCCAACATTTCAATTCTGAACACATACGTTTTCACGCTACTGTGACGTCCCGTCATTTTTCAAAACCATATTTCAACTAATAATTAAGTACCGCATCTATTTCTGCATTATGCCTATGGAATATAGAACAATTATTTAACCATTTGCCCTTATTTCTATTATTAATCAATTTTACTAATTGCTTATTATTCTAGTTCCATATGGTTATTTAACTTAGAAATTAACTATATTTTAGTTTTTTTAATAGTAATAATCGACTGCGCAAGGAATTAAAGGTTCCTTGGACAGACCAATCAGAAGGCTTTATTTAGAACTAGGCAGCTGCGCAGTAGTAACTTTCTAGAACTGACCGGCGGTTACTTTAAGAAGGGGCCCGCGATTGAGCTTTAATATAATCAGCGATACTAGCACTTCATCTTTAAGAATACAAAGAATAGGATTAAAATAAATAAAATAAGGAATATGCGCACCACTCTTTATGGAATCGTAAAATGCGCGCCAATAATAATTTGTTAAAACATTTTTCTTACATTCCTTGCTAATAATTATCAACTTTCAATATTATACAAAATTTAATTATAACAATAATTTGATAACGTCATCATTATAAAACGTTTCCACAAAGAAAGCATTACTGTACTATGTATTTTCACTACACTATGAATTAATATGCTTGGTAGTAGCTTTAACCATGCGATTGCGAATAATATATAGATCTAAGAAACTTACATTTATGGAATCACGGATTACA